TTTTTTAAAAAAATTATGGGTTAATTAATTTTTTTTTTTTTTTTGCACAGCAAAGGTAATTTATTAAGATTAGTGTAGAGTTACAAATAGTACTCCACCTAATTTCTTACACAAGAACAGAAAAGAAATAGGCTACATTTGTTACTCCTATCTTTCAAACTATTCTTCTCCCAGGTTTGTTCTTAAACATCCGTAAAACAAGCTATAAGATTAGATAACCAATCTGAAAGATAAAAGTGACAACCAACTATTCTTGATTTAATCCAAAAAAAATATCTTAATTGAATTAATTCCAGCTATTATGGTTAAATGATTGATTATTAAAATAATTTCAAATTGCAAGAAAAAAGGTCCAATGTAAGTTAAAGTACTTGTTTGCTCGGGTACTTGCAAATAAACTCAAATTCATTTGAATACTTACAAATTTGAATATGAACTTAACTTTTTTGAGTTTTGATCTTGAGTTCAAATTTTTAAGGTAATACTGAGCATGAGTACTTAGATAATCAACTCAACTAATTAATAGCATTGCTACTTAATAACTTGATTATATGTTTTGCCAAACATACCCACCTTTCAACACTCCTCTTAAATTTGATTATTAAAATATAATATAAGTATAATTAATTTTTATATATTATATGTATAATTATATTTTTAAATTTATTTATTTTTAATTTTAAATAAAAAAATATGTATTAAATTAAAAGATATACGGATAAATCGGAGGGTGTATGGATATATGCACCTTTTGCGATTGCATTTTCATTACAAAAGCATTCTGCTTCCATTTCCACATTGGTGTTTCCTGTTTCTTTGCCTTCGCTTCACAACCCCATTTGCCCCATACTCTCCTCTTAAACCAATAAGTTTCATGTTCAAAGTCGCCCCCTACGAATTAATGGTTCGATCAGACTCTTCCTTTCTCAACACATTTCCTTTCATCCTTCTTGATTTTTATATATAACTTCCTACTTTTTTTTTTCTTTGCATTTTCCATCTTCTCAGTCACACAGAAGAAGTACAAAAGTTTCAAGCTTCCAGGTATAATTTTTTAATTCCAATATATTTCCTCTGCATTTATTTTTTTTCTTACTCCCACGAAAAGAATAATTTTTTCAATTGTGGAGACCAATCTACCCTTTTCTTCACCAAAACCTGCAAACTCTCCTTTT